TTACACAGCAACCAGTTGCTCAGTAGCTCCTCGATAATGCCGAGAAATTAAAAGTGCCGAGACATCTCATATTGTTCGGGTGCTTTCCCTCTCGCTCCGAGAATTACGAATTAATCATAGGCCGAGTTTCTGAAGTGGCAACTCGCAGGGGGCAATGGGCTGGACGGAATAGGAAGGGGAATTTGAGAGTGGAAGCAGTGGCGAGTGCAATGGGCAGGAGCCGTGGGAAGTGGAGGGGGTGGAGATGAGTAAAAATAACGAATTAATGTTGTGATCTTACAATGTTGTTAATTTAATTTACATTGCGATAGGTCCCTGTGATAATTTTCACATTGAGAAGGCGGAAGGGAAGACAGAGATGTGCTGACAGGTGAAATGAAAGGCAAAATAAGCATCATGCGCCAAGCCTGACCATGTTCTATAGAAGATGCTGTTGCAATGATTTTGAAGATTGTAGAGGAGTTCTGCCCAGTATCCTGACCAATACTTATCCCTCAAAAGCTCAAACCAAGTTATATGTCCATTTAATCCACTTGTGTGTGCAGAATCTGCCTGCCTCAATTCTTAAATTATAGTAATGTATAATCTTACAAAAAGTGCTTCATTGACTGAAAGGCACTTCAGAGCATCCTGAAGTTGTGAGAAGCATTACATAAACGCAAGTTCCTTCTTTTCACTCAATACATGTTTTTGTTCCCAGTTGTCTGCGCACTGTTTCTTCTCTCAAGTGACCGAATTGTTTGTTTGCCGCTATCTGTAAATCAGTAACAGGTGGAAATTCAACTAAGTGGGGCATCGCTGTTGAGGCTACCCCAGGAGTCAGTGATGTGAACAAAGGAAATGGTAAGTTTGAGCCCGGGGCTTTCTGATCACTCTGTTTCAGTCCCGTCAGCTAATCTTCTGAAGCAGCTGTCAGCACTGCTGGGGTAAAATGTTATATGCACTCTGTTAACAATGAACAAAGTGAAGCTATCAGTCAGAGTTCATGTTCCTGGGTACTACTAGTCTCTCCCAACACCACCCCACCCCATCCCATTAAACATTTCAGTCCTCAACATTAATGAATAGATTAATGAAAGATGGATGATATTGTGCCAGTTAGGAGTGACTTTTATTCCTTTAATTCACTGTGTGTACTACACCTGTTCTAATATACCTGGCACACACAGGTGCTGTACAGTACTACCTGGAATACTATGGAGTGCTATGCACAGGACCTGACATAGAGATGTATATGAGCCATACTGTTGAAGGCAGGAGCGATTCATTCACTTTTATTTGTTTTGCTTATCTGCTACATGTAGTCTACATATGCAGGAGCTAATACTGAGATGCACACAAGCCATGCTATACCAGGCAGCAGTAATTTTTGCCCACTGTGTTCTTTGCCTGGGGGATTTACACAAACTTGGCACCAGCAGTTAGCAGGTGACATCTTTAATGTCTCCGCATGTTTCACAATAACAGTGATGCCAACAGAGTGACTAGAAGCTGCCTTATTGGCACTGCCACCCTGTGGTACAGGCTTCATATATCCCTCCTGCCAACTTTGCAGCCTAAGTACAAAACTGATGGCTGCTCATTACGGGGGGAGCCTCACAGCCTGTCACACTTGTTGGAAAATCAATTCACCTGCTGGCAATCCCAGACTTTAGTGAGAAGGCCTGGAACTAGAATGGCATTAACTCATTTTTTGGATGGGTAGTAACTTTTGACATGGAATCTACAGCAAAGAAACAGGCCATTTGTACTGACTGATCCATACTGGTGTTTATGCTCCATTTGAGACTCCGCTCACCCTTCATCAACGAGAGAGAAAAAATTCCACAAACTAGGGTTTATTCCCCAGAATTCAGAATGTTAAGATGGAAAGTTTCAAGATATTAAAGGGAAGAGATGGGTTCAATAGATAGAAACTATTTCCATTAGTTAGAGAATCTTGGACTAGGAGGCATAGCGTAAAACTCAGAGCCAGACCTTTCAAGAGTGAAATTAGGAAATGTTTATTCACACAAAGGGTGGTAAATGTCTGGAACACACTACTGCCAATGGTAATTGATGCTCAAAGTTTAAATTTGAGATGGCCATTTTTGTTAAATGAAGGTATGAAAGGATATGGGGCAATGGAAGGCAGTTGGAGTTAATTTGCAGATCAGCCAGGATCACACTGAGTAAAACAAATTCTGTCAAATTCAAATTGGAATTAGTGGTGACTATTTTATATTTACTACCCTTAGTTTTGGACTCCTGCACAAACAGAAACAACTTCACTGCATCCATTTTGACCAATGCTTTCATGATTTTAAAAATCTCTGTTCGCTTGTTGTTCAACCTTCCCTTTTCCAGAGAAAAGATACCAGACTATTTAGTTAAATAATCTGTGTGGCCCATTTGATGGGGTGAAGGAGGAGCCTTAAACTTCTCCTCAACATTAAATTTCCATTCCTTTTTTATATTTGAGTTTCCATAGCTGCCCTCCGCTCCTTCACTACAAGAAGACAAGAGCCTCCAAACCAATGAATACTGCTAGACTATTTAACTGCAAGGGTGGCATCTTAGCTGAGCCTACTGCAGGTCCCATGTACTTTCCAGTGATCAGTGGAGCTGGGAGTGTCTGCCACTAACTTTTAAAGAGTTATCCCATTGATACTGAGTACTTCTGAAAAAAGACATTTGTCAAAGCTTTTCATCTTTCATGATCAGGATAATTTGTAAGGATACCAATTTAAGGGGAGAACATGCAATTTCCATGTGAACATCTCTACCAATCAGAGTCTACTTGACAACCAATTAGGACTGTCCTATTATAGAGTACAAATATTGGTTTTCCCTATGAACTTTTATTCTTGCAAATTGTCCTGATTAGCAACACACAAAAACTTCAACAAAATGTGTCTTTTTTCAGCAATACTCAGGTTCTCTATGACCAAACAACTGTTAATACAGCTTTCTGTTAATTTGCTGTTAATCCAATTATTGTTAAAGGTAAGAAAATATTTTAGGCTGTCAACTGGTTTCATAAAGTGGATATTGGGTGTACATTAGCCAAAATGGTGGCCTAACTGTAGCCTGACAAGAACATGCTGGAATTACAGAATTGAGCAATCGCTCCCCTTCCCCTCTTCCCTCAAACTTGATCATTCCTCCCAAATCCTTCTTCCTCACCCTTACCCCCACACCCCACTCCATCTCGGAAAATCATCCCCGGGGACCTTTTCATTCATGGATGAAGCCATTGCTGACAAGACTGGTATTTATTGCCCATCCCAAGGTTCCTCTTGAGAAAGTGGGGACAGCTGCAGTCTGTGTGATGAAGATGCAGCTTGGCCATTAGGGAGTAAGCTCCAGGATTTTGACCCTGTCCTGATTTAGCAGTGGTGATATATTGTCCAAATTGGAATGATGTATCTGTATATCGGTGCATGGAAATTTCTTTCTTTTTACAACACAAAGGGAGAGCTTTGAGATTTAAGTTGACCTACTAGTGATCTAGCAAAGAACAAACTCAGAAAATCTGGGTTCTGAGGAATGATTAGAATGTAAAAGATGTGTTAATACTTCAATTAGGAAAGAGAATTGCAAGTCTGGGTATGCAAATCAATTGAAGCTGGTGGGCAAGTTAAAAAAAGTCAGAAAGGCTCATGGAATTGTGAAATTATTTGTAAGGGAAGGAAATGATATTTCAGATAGTGTCTTCTCAGACTTCACCTAGAGTAGCTGCCATCAGTTCTAGGCACTAGAACTCAGTGCCTAGGTATCTCAGGAAATACATACTGGCCTTGATTTTGATTTATTGTTGTCTCACGTACCTAAGTATAGTGAAAGGTTTTGTTTTGTGAATAGGCAGATAATAGCAAACAAGGACATACAGATGATAGGGTGTTCAGACAGAGCGAGGCATACAGGGTTACAGCTACACAGGAGGTGCACAAAAGCGTGATCAACATTACATTTGAAATTAGAGAGGTCCGTTCAGCAGTCTAATAACAGCAGGGAAGAAGCTGTCCCTGAACCTGCTGATACGTGTGTTTTTCTTGAATACAGCTTTGCCAGAATATCAGAATCAAAAGGGTTAATTTATAAGGACGGGCTGCATAAACTTAGCTTGCACTCCCTTAGGTTTAAGAGCTCAACAGCTGATCGGTTCGAAAGACTTGAAAGGCTAAAAACGGATATATCCAGAGTAATTATCTCCTACGGGAAGGAAAGAGGTAACATCATTTAAACCTAGAGCAATGCTATTCCCTCTTCCAGAAGGTCTGCCGTTGTTGGGCTTGGGGAGATGGACGTAGGGCTGCAGTCTGAGCTTTCAGAACTGAAGGGGATCGATCATTGTGAGGGAAACGTAACGAGCGGCGTGCAGAAAAGGCAGGTAAAAGTCAGAACAGGCGAGAGGGGCCGAATGGCCTCCTCCTGCCCATAACTTTCAGCGTGACCCGCGCCCCACACAGATACCTTCCGCTGCCAAGGAACCATCGACGGCACGCAAGCTGATGTCTTGACATTTTATTTGAAATACCTCAGAAATAAACAACATTTAAACGAAATCTGTCACAGGTGATAGATGTCCCTTCGCAAACCGTAAGAGAATATAATTTTTTTTTGGTGAGGCGCAAATGTCACTTTCAGTCATTGAGAAAAATACAAAATTCGGCTGTACATTTTGTTTTCTATGTTAAACCCCCACCCACCCCCATCGAACAAAAAAAAGTTTCTAAACAATCGCTGGAAAATCTTGTACAAAAAAGGCATTCTATATATATATATATGATTAACAAAAACAAAAATAAATAACATATAATTTATACTTGTATTTAACCATGTTACTGTTACGTGGAAAGTACCAGGCTAGTGAACTTTGCCTTCGCTTCTCTCTCTCCTTGTTTCGAGATTGTGTTTTAGCCGCATTATTTTGGAAGTTTCTTCAGTCGTCCTTCACACACACACAATAAATAAGGGCGATGGGGTTTTCGAGTTTGTGTTTAGATTCCGCCCTCACTTCACATCACCGCCGGCGCTGTGGAGAGCTGCAGCAGCATCTCTTGCGGGTTTTCCAAGGGCTGACACTCGCCATTGCTGAGGACCTGGCAGGGGGAGAAGGATGCCTCAGGGAGGCTGTCAGAGCCCGAGCAGGCGAGTCCAGAGTGGGAGCTAATGTCAGGCTTCCCTTGGGGCTGCTGGAGGTACACTTGGCCGCCTGATAGCAGCATGGGGCCTCGGTGAGTGGCCATGTGCTTCCTGAGGTAGGCTTGGCGACGGAACTTCTTGCCACAGAGCGGGCAGTCGAACAGCTCTTCTTCCAGGCTAGGCGACTCGCAATGTCGGGCTGAGGGGCTGGCCGGCTGCTCCTCGCTCCTGGCTTTGCTCTTGTTGCTCTCCTTGACCACCTCTTGCCCTGGCAGGCCGCTAGGGTTCCTGGGTTTGTGCCAGCGGCAGTGAGAAGCCAAGTTGGCTGGACAGCTGAACACCTTGTCGCATTCGGAGCAGCGATACTCCACCCTGACGATTCTGGAGCACCGGTGCTGGGCGAGGGACAGGGCATCGGCGTATTCCTCCTTACATAGCTGGCAGATAAACTCCCCCAGGGGCTGGCCTGTGCTCTTGTGCTGCTGGTAGTCCGTCAGCTCTTTGGTGATCCTTAGCCCCAAGACCGGTGAAGTGGTCACCTCGTCCCTGTAAGGCTTCCTCTCCGCCCTAGACTTCTTACCCTGCGCCTTGGCTTTGGCCGGAGGCAGTTGCCTCTTGACCGCTTGGATGCTGGTGCAATTGGACCCCATCTTCACCTCCTCATCTGACACCGAAGCCACAAAGACAGCTCGTCCCAGCGACGAAGCCAGAGCCAAGGGGCTGGGGAAAGATTCGGCCAGGATGGGCGAGCTGGAATTGCCTGGCCGACCTGGGGAGCCAGGGCAACTGCTGACTGGCCGGTTAGGGCTGTGGGCCGGGGCGCAGGGAGAGCTGGGCATCCCACAGTATCCCGGCCTGGTGTCACTGGAGGAGGTGGGATGTAGAGGGGCCTTCCCCTGCCCCCATAGGGATGGCACTGCCTCTGGAACGCCCCATTCCTCTTCTACGCTGCGTACCCTGTATGAGACAGGGGCAGCTCTCTTGGTTCTCTTCACCAGAAAGCCTCGGGGCATCTTGGCTCAGGAAGTTCGTGTCTTGTCAAACCAGCAACAACAACAACAACAAAACAGCAGCCTGCAAGTGAGCACTGTACTCTGTGCTGCCAGGGAGAACAGGAGCGTGGGCTAAAGCAGCAATCGTCCCCACTTTGGAACTGTTCAATCGCCGCACTGTTCGGGCTATTTAAAGGCTGCAAGGTCCCATTGTCTGGTCCATCTCAAGCAGATGGCTTGAGATGAAGAACCAATCAGACAAAGAGGGTAATCTGATCCAAGAGGGACTGTCGAGTCTCCCAGGAGGCGCCAGATGTACCTGTTCTGACGCGTGTTTGCTCCCCATTATGTAAATGACTATAAGGGAGCCACACGTCCGGCCTGCTCTTTTTGTCCTGCTCTTATTCATAGCACACGTGCCGGGGCTTTGTCCTAATTCAATAGAGGCAGGGAAAGAAAGATAGAGAGAGCGAAGGGGCCTCCTCCTGGGGGAGGGGGAGATGGAGAGAGGTCCCTTCACGTCTCCAAATACGCCCGAGCCAACTCTGCGGCTCTTTTGTTTGTAACAGATCAGACTTGAGACCCCAGGCTGTCTGATTCACACAAAGCCAAGAGCGGGAGAGAGGCAGAGAGAGAAACTGACAGAAAGGAGAGAAAGAGAGAGACAGAAAGAGATTTGGACTGACAGAATTAGAGAGAGGAAATGGAGAGATGGAGATAACACACACTGAAAGAAAGGAGAGGGAGAGAAAGGGACTGACTGAATTACAGAGAGGAAATAGAGAGATGGAGATAAGACATTGAGAGAGAGAGAAAGGGACTGACAGAATTAGAGAGAGGAAATAGAGAAATGGAGATAACACACACTGAAAGAAAGGAGAGAGAGAAAGGGACTGACTGAATTACAGAGAGGAAATAGAGAGTTGGAGATAAGATACTTAAAGAGAGGAGAGACAGAGAGAAAGGGATTGACTGAATTACAGAGAGGAAATAGAGGGATGGAGATAACACACACTGAAAGAAAGGAGAGAGAGAGAGAAAGGGACTGACAGAATTAGATAGGAAATAGAGAGATGGAGAAAAAACACAATCTGATAGAAAGGAGAGAGAGAGAAAGGGACTGACAGAATTAGAGAGAGGAAATAGAGACATGGAGGTAACACACACTGAAAGAAAGGAGAGAGTGAAAGGGACTGACTGAATTACAAAGAGGAAATAGAGAGTTGGAGATAAGATACTTAAAGAGAGGAGAGACAGAGAGAAAGGGATTGACTGAATTACAGAGGAAACAGATGGAGTTAAGACACTGAAAGAGAGAAGAGAGAGAGACTGACAGAATTAGAGAGAGGAAATGGAGAGGTGGAAATAACACACACTGAAAGAAAGGAGAGAGAGAGAGAAAGGGACTGACTGAATTACAGAGAGGAAATAGAGAGATGGAGATAACACACACTGAAAGAAAGGAGAGAGTGAGAAAGTGACTGACTGAATTAGAGAGGAAATAGAGAGATGGAGATAAGACATTTAAAGAGAGGAGAGAGAGAGAGAAAGGGACTGACAGAATTAGAGAGAGGAAATAGAGAGATGAAGATAACACACACTGAAAGAAAGGAGAGAGAGAGAAAGTGACTGACTGAATTACGGAGAGAAAATAGAGAGATGGAGTTAAGACATTGAAAGAGAGGAGAGAGAGAGAAGGGGACTGACAGAATTAGAGAGGAAATAAACAGGTGAAGATAGCACAGACTGAAAGAGAGGAAAAAGAAGTGAGAAAAAGAAACTTTTACACGGAGAGACATGGAACCTGACACAGAGAGACTGATGGAGAGGGAAGGAGAAGGCATGTAGACAACCATCCAGTGAAAGACACAAAATGCAGAAATACAGAGAAAGGACATGAGATGAGGAGTAGGGAGAGAAGAGGGATGGAGAAAGGAACAAAAGAGCAACAGAAGGGGGAGAGTGCACATGATTAAGAGAAAGACAGAACAGTAAGAAACAGGCAAGATATGCGAAAAGACAGGAAATACAAGGAGAAAGAAGTGAGATAAATATTGAGAAAATGTGAGAAAAATCTCAGAAAATGTTTTGGTTGATTGTTAGACAAATTTTAAGAATCTACTTTTATGTTCCATTAGTGTTTATAATTTACATTGAAATGTCAAATAACTAATAGATGGTTACATAATTTGCTTTCTGCATTGGTCCTTTTTAAGAATCTGGCAAGATCAGGAAGAAACCCACTCTGTCCCAGCGAATGCTCAAACTCCCACGCTACTGGCTGCCTCACCCCTCACTCAAATTCTCAGCAACTTCTGTCACTCTCCATTTGGTGCCTCCTTCCTAACCTTTAAGCCAAAATCCTTTAAAGATTCTTTTCTGTAGTTGTTCACTGCCATCTTTTTAATCCACCCATCCCATTCCCTGATTAACCTGTGTCAGATTTCCAGCATCTGCAGTTTGCTTGTTTTCATTCAAACAGTGTGAGTCAGTTAATGAGAGGCAACACTTCATCCTGAGTTGCAACCATATCGGCAGTTTCTTCACAGTTACTCGGTAAAAATTATGAGACTTCTTTCCTAGCAGCACTGTATGAGTGCACCTACATCACATGGACTGCAACAGTTCAAAAGATTGCTCACCATTACCTAAAGGACAGCTGGAGAATGGACAACGGTCACTAGCCCAATGCCGCTTATGTCCCATGAAAAGATTAAAAATAAACCCTGAACATGATACTTGGTCTTGAAACCATTTTTCAATTTCTTGTTTTCACATAGTTAGGCTTCCAGAACATTCTAGATGCAAGGACAAAACATTTTATTGTGGGATAAGAGGAAATATTATGCATTTATGCTTTCACCGTCACAGGATGTTCCCTCAAGTGTTTTATAGTCAATTAAGTCCTTTTGCAAGATCCCACAGCTTGTTCTGAGTAAGAGTCACTCGACCCAAATGTTAACTCTGATTTCTCTCCACAGATGCTGCCAGACCTGCTGAGCTTACTGAGCAATTTCGATTTTTTTTTTCTTTTCATGATGTTGGGTAGGGGAAAAGTGCTTTATCCCAGCACACCCGAGAGAATTCCCACTCTTCTTAGATTGATGATACCTTTTACATTCGTCTGAGAAGGTAGATGAGACCTGGGTTTAAGCCTTATGAGACTGCATCTCCTACAATGCAGTTCACCCTGTGTCCTCAACCTTGGAAGTGGAACTCAAACTCATGTCCTCCTGAATCTGAACAGCAAGAGAGTGTGCTCTGTACTAAGCTCAGAACACTTTGGCAAGGCAGTTAGATCCTATATACAAGTCTAGCCCAAACTATAACTGGATTCTGATTTACCTTTGGATTCTAGAAGACTTGTGTGTCTCAAATGAGTTTAACAGCCCCCCACAAAATCTGTCCTGAAATCTCTCCCCGCTGCTATATTCAACTCATTCTTGCACCATTCTTGAACTGTTACGCTACGAAACAAATACCAGACATTCCATAAGGCGATCAAAAAGATCATAATAGAGATTGCAAAAGTGTCAACTTGAACTCACAAATGAAAAAAACGATAAATATCGAAATGCATTGTTCATGAATGAATTTGTCTATTTCTCTGTCCTCACTCTGAGTCAGAAGATTATGGGCTCAAGCCTCAATTCAGAGACAGTTCAAGCAGTCAGTGCCAGTGCTAGGGGAACGCTGCACTGTTGGAGGTGCCATCTTTCGGATGTGACGTTAAACCAAGGTCTGCCCTCTACTCATGCACGTAAAAGATCTTATGCCGCTAAGTGGAAGAGAATCAGGGAGTCCTCCCCAGTGTCCTGGGGCAATATTTATCCTTCAACCAAGAACAGATTATCTGGTCATTATCCCATCACTGTGGGAGATTGCAGTATGCAGATTGACTGTCACAGTTCCTACACTGCAAGAGCAGCCACACATCCAGAAACAAAGCTGCTTCGTTGGTTGTAAAGCACTTTGGGACATCCTGAGGTTATGAATTGAACTATCTAAATAAAAGACTTTCTTTTGTTGTGTGCATATCAAGATTCCACAAGTGCCCTCAACTGCCATCCCCATCCCATGAAGTGTAAAAATATCCTGTCACTCCATTAGACACAGGGCATGGATCGTGAATTAAAATAAGTCTGGCAGTAAAATAAATTTTATTTATGTGGATTTAATTTGTCAGTAAATACAGTGGGACGCAAGGCAGTGGTGGGGGGCAGTGAGGGGAGGGGATGGGGAATGCTATAGCCCATGAAACAGCTCAACAGCCTCAAACATGAGGGTCTGGTCGATTAGAAGTGTTGACAAGACCCTCACTTCGCCAGGGCTTAAGGAGAGACGATTAAATGGAGTGCTGCTTTGATGCACACACATACACACACACACAATAAAGAGTCTGCATGGCACACGACCTCTTTCATCCCTCCTGCGTGTTTTGGCTGATTTGCATCTGGCTGGAGGCTGTACGACAGTCTGTTCTACCACCCTCCCCTGCAACTCCTCCCTCCCCCACCCCCAGGGACTGGCTTGTGTGGACAAGGGCCCAACAGACACACATCCATTCCAAGCTCTCTTGTATTACCATAAAGCTGCACATCTTATTAACCCCTGCTGCACTATTGAAAGAACAGTCCTGATCAATCAGTAATGAATGTGCATTCCCAACCTCTCTATTCCTGCCGTCTCTCTCTATTCTGAACTGCCTGTCTCCTGCATTCCTCTTCTACAAACCCCTTCCTGTATTTAGCAGGAAAAATATAATCAATTAATTGAATGCAACGAGTTTTATGGTGTCTTTCAAAGAATGGATTTGCGTTCCAGTGTCTTTCACAATCTCAGATTGTTTCAATGCACTTAACAGCTAATGAAGCACTTTACTTGAGGCATTGTGACTATCATAATTTCAGAAATGTGGCAGCCAACTTCTATACATTGAGATTCCATAGACTGCAATCTATTTTAGTCATGTTGATTAAAGAGTAAGTATTGGACCAGCACACTGCTGAAAACTCCCTGAC